CACATCAAAGACAACAATTTCTCAGGCTTACCAGTCGAGATGCTGCTTCTGAAGGTCATCAAGTGTTCCAGAATTTTCAACCCTCTTACGCCTCAAGCAAGGGCAAGTGAGTAAGCTCATTTTTGAAAACGATGCCATCCGAAATCGGATTTCCAATGACTTTGACAAGCGGTGCATTTGTCAACAAAAAGCGCAATAAACAAACCAGCCATGAATTACAGAACAATCTTGGTAGCAGCTGTATTTCGTTTTGTACACCAAGTAGAAAAAGCCAGTTTAAAACATCACAAGATGACACAAAACTCTGTAAGCTCCAGCTATCAGTAAGCAAGTTTCCAGACGCTGCATAAATTTTCCGCATGAACTCACCTGTCAAATTTTGACCAATCAGAACATAAAAATTGGACGTAGAGCGTGATCAACGCGTGACAGTGAGAAAAGTCAAAAGTGATTGCCTTCCCCGCATGTAAATGTAAAAGCCGGTTGAATTTTCGCGTCCGAGGTCAGTTCGAAATCAACATTTTAAATGTGCGGCTCATGAACTCGACTTATTTCATATGCTTTTTAAAAAAAATGAACTTGAGCCTGCGATAATTGAAAAGTAGCAACCTGTCAGCGGATACGTTAAAAAAACACTCGAACTCAGTGGGTCGATACCTAAGCCCGCGATAGGGACAGGCGATACTGGTCAGCAGAAACACTATTTTGACAGCTGTCAATTAATCAAAACATGGAGGTACAATATCAGGTTGCAGGTTCCCAAACTAGCTAGAAAGTGTGAGATTAAACATTGGTATACCTGTGGTGCGGACGGACGGAAGGTCGGGTGGTCGGTATATGGTCACGTGATTGCCGAATTTTCTAAGATGGATCGATTTTCTAAGCTATGGGACTTCGAATTGAGCCCGTGATCAAATAAAATATCAGCGCAAAACTTTAAACACTACGTGACCTCAATGGATAGACAAATGAGCCCGCGATACACTCAGGTGATGATGGTCAGCGTATACTCTAGTTTGACAGCTGTCAATTAACCTTCATTAGAATGGCGAATATTCGAATTAACAGACTATGAGTGTGAGTAAGACATATCCGTCCGGCATGTAGTGGAAAATGCCAGATCGTGTACATGAGCGAACCTGAGCCCACGTTATTAGTTTTCTGATAGTGGTCTGCACATGTCCCATTTTGACAGCTGTCAATTGACCTTAATTTGGCTTGCCAATATATCTTTAAACGCCTGTCAGCCAACTGACAGCCTTGCCCGGCGTACGCTACGTCATAACCAAATTTTCTCAGATGGATAGTTTACCAAATTTTCTTACCCATGGTGCTCCGCTCTGCGCGCGCTTCGCGCGCGCGAGGAGCTCCGCTATTAGAATAGTTTCCAGGAGTTCTTTTGATGCATGCCAATCTTATTATTGCGAGCTTTTGTGAAATTTGAAGATATTATCAAACTCCAAATCGGTAATAAAAGTTATGTACCTTTATAAAAACGGCCTTCATATAATCCTAACAGTTTCAATGACATGTTTTTGCTTAACTGTGACGTACATTCAAATAACACTAGGAGTAAGAATTCCTTCTATTTGCCCTACTGCAGGACAAATGTAAGGAAATTTCACTTCGTTTTCAAGGGCCCGAAATATTTAAATAATTCCCTTAGCTCTGAAATTAAGAATGCCTCTAGTTTTGCTTTGATCAATTCTAAACTTAACTCATTTTTTCTTGGTATGAGCACACTTTAGCTCTCCTAATTCTCGTGTGTAGTTTTTCGCTTCTTTCGCTTTTTTTTCCTCGTTTTTTCTTGTATTATTTTTTCTCGCCTTTTCTTTTTCGTTTTTGCACTAACGCGTTCGTGAGCCTTTTCTACTTTTATCCATTTTAATGATTATTTTCTATGTTTTAAACAAATTGTGCGTACTTAGATTTAAATTACTGATGTCAGTATTGTAATAATCAATTAAATAACATTAATTTTAAAGGTGGGCTCCCTTGCCTCATCTATTTGTAAATTTCATATGTATATTTTGTGTGTGTGACAAAAAAAATAATAAAACAATAAATGGGTCAAAAAATTTTTAAAGTCTCTAAAGCGATCTTTACCAAAGGGAAATCTGCGCCACAAGGACTTGAAGCCGGGTCCCACCTACCTGTCATTCTCCACAGAGGCAGGTGCTGCCATTTCCTCTGTTTTAACCATTAACCCTTGTATTACTAAAGACTATCCTAAGAAGGAAAGCACTTAATACATGTATGTTGATTTTGCCATTAAGATAACACAACCTAATCTGTAATAATGCTAAAAGTGAAATCTGAATATATCAAAGTTTTCATTATTTCGGAGTTTTTGAAGGGCCAATTTTTTTTAATTGTAAAGATTCCCTAAGTGGATACCGATATCTCGCGAAGAACAAAATTTGTTAATTTTTATTATTATTATTATTATTATAAAAGACCAATGAAATATAAAGCATGATGGAAGAAAAGGTGCCTCTATGGAAAGCCCCAAGTGTTCTGTTTTATTTCATCCTTACCTTAGAGTCATTATTTTGTTCAAACCATTTCTCTGTAGGAAGTGACATGTGTCCACAGCAAGGAAAATGGCCTTGGGGTTATCACAAACTTGGGGATCAAGACTTTTGTTACATGATTATTGACAAACTCGTAAGCGATTGGGATAAGGCTCAGGCGATGTGTAACGAATAAGGTGCGGGTCTTGTCACTATCCATAGTGAAGAAGAAAATGCTTTTGTGCGCGGACATATAGAGACTTCGGGTCAAGGGCGGTGGCTTGGATTAACGACCAACTACGAAGACGGGGGCTATCGTTGGATGGACGGCTCGAGAATGAAAGATCCTCCTTTTTTGGGTATTAAGAAAAACACAAACAGCCCAATAACGTCCACTTATCACTACTGTATAGAAATGGAGGAATACGGTTTAAGGAAACCTGTNGTAGGAAGTGACATGTGTCCACAGCAAGGAAAATGGCCTTGGGGTTATCACAAACTTGGGGATCAAGACTTTTGTTACATGATTATTGACAAACTCGTAAGCGATTGGGATAAGGCTCAGGCGATGTGTAACGAATAAGGTGCGGGTCTTGTCACTATCCATAGTGAAGAAGAAAATGCTTTTGTGCGCGGACATATAGAGACTTCGGGTCAAGGGCGGTGGCTTGGATTAACGACCAACTACGAAGACGGGGGCTATCGTTGGATGGACGGCTCGAGAATGAAAGATCCTCCTTTTTTGGGTATTAAGAAAAACACAAACAGCCCAATAACGTCCACTTATCACTACTGTATAGAAATGGAGGAATACGGTTTAAGGAAACCTGTTGAGGAGCTTGGTTTTTTTCAGGTAAACGACCTTGCGGATTGACCTCTGATATATCGCCATAAGACTATGCATTTTATAAAATAAATGTAAACTATTATTGATGTTGCTCAATTTTGGTTTAAATGATAATTGTAAATGCTCCCCTCTTCCCTTTTAAAGATGTAGTGGTGGATGGAGTTCGCATAATGTACATGAGAGGTCGTTTTGCTACAAATCATTTGGAGAAACTGACGAAAACCAAAGAAAGTCGTTTTACTCTGCTGCGAGACACTGCAAATCTCAGGATGGTAGTTTAACGAGTATCTTAACTGAAGAAGAACAGATGTTTTTGCTAGGATTAAATGGCAATGAACAGTGGATTGGTTTAGATGACGGCTGGGGCGCACGTGTATTCTTGTGGTCGGATGGCCAGCAGTTAGTATCAGATGATGCACGTTGGGCAGACAATGAGCCGAACAACAACTACTACCAAGAGCACTGCGTGCTCCTCGAGGGGACAACATGGAAGGACTGGAACTTTTAAGAAGAGAAGGTTTTCACATGTGAAAAGATGCCGCAAGGTTTTTTTGTCTTCTGTACTAAAGATGCATTTTATATATCAATATTTAGTATATACGCACTCAGTGATCTTGGTGTTTAAAGCAGTCTGATTGATTCGTTATCTCGGACTATTTTAATGCGTGTTTTTCCATTTTTTAGAGATCATTCTAAGTCCTAGGGTTGATGTTTAACAATGCAAGAAACGACCTCAAAGAATTTAGAACAGCCTCAATTCATTTTTAGTTACTAAAAGTTGAACTTTTTTGCTTCATGGAAGGTTTACAACTATACTTGTCTATTTATTAGGGTAGAAGAGGCCGTATAGTAAACTCAACATTTCCTAACAACTTCTGCACATGTGCTTTAATCGTCTCAACATTCACATTTCTCACGCGTGATTTGATCCGTTAATCAAAGTGTACGTACTTAAAATGGTCTCCTTTCTGATTTTGTTGAAATCACTTCTTTTATATCCAGTTTGTATATGCTAAAACAATTATTCTTTTCAGTCTTGGTGAATAGAGGCTTTAGGAAGGTTTACCTAATTCAGTCACTATTCATTATGATTTCAAAGAATAATTGTTAAATATACCCAGGTAAAAAATGTTAGAGAGACAGTTAATTACCATGTCCAATCTCTTAGTTTCAAAGGCGATTGTAAGGAACACTAAGAGAGATTCTCTTTTTTTTCTTCAAAGGTGGTCAGTGTCCAAATAGCTGGCAATTGCAGGAAGATCCTTGTCTTCTCGGAGGTGACACGGCTATGAGGTGGTCCTAAGGAGAGCAATATTGCATGGGACAAAGTGCAACCTTGGTTAAAGCTGACAGTGAGTCAAAAATCAACGCTATCAATTCCATTCACGGCAGCCAAGCTAGCTGGATAGGCCTGAGGGACAACAAGTACAATTTGGAATATAAGTGGTTCGATGGAAGCGAATTTGACTACAGTAACTGGGACAGTGAAAAGCCGACACGCTACAGCCGCAAACATTGTGCTATTATGACTCACAATGGGGAAGGAAAGTGGATTCCCTACTATTGTAAAGATGATTTGTGGAGGAATCCTTTCTGCAAGAGGAAGGCAACTGCAAGAAGTAAGCAAACCACCTAATTCACTGTCGTCAATCTTTACTATTTTCTACTCGGCGGATGTTGATATATCATTCGATTATAAAACAAGATCTTATCGTAGCTGATAAGTGAACGATATCCTGTTGAGCTGTGTGACAAACCATTCGAGCAGAAATATATGGGAGATGAAAAGCAGATGCGTGAGGGGCGATGGACAACCAACGTTTGGAACATGAATAATAATGACAGTAATCTTTAATGATAATGATGATGATGATGACGATGATGATGATGCGTAAGGAGCAATGGAAAAACAACTTTTGGGTTAACAATAATAATAATAATAATAATAATAATAATAATAATAATAATGTTTAATGATAATGATGTTGATGATGATGATATTTTGAAAAGTAAGTAAATGAACCTTAGGACACCATCTTGAAACAAGTGAACCAAAGACCAGTGTGATGACAAGACAACTTTATATATGAAGAATTTTTCAAGAAAATTTCAAACTTCACTGAATGGTTTCCGAAGTTTTTGCCAATAAACAAAAGCTGGAGTTCCGTGTAATCCATATGATTTTTTCTTGGAAATCACTTAATTTTAATTACTTTTTTTTCTTAACTTATAGGCTGCAACGCATTATCTTTTCTCATATAAAATGAATTTTTCATGTGTGGAATAAAGTAAATTGTAGGGGCGTATCCAAAAAATTCAGAAAGAGCGGCCCGGAAGATTTTTCTGCAACATAAATCTACTCATAAATTGTAAGATGATTTCCCGCTATAATTATTAGTTTGTGATGCCATACTTATTTTTATGTAAGGGAAAGTTAATTTATTGGGTGCCACATGTAACTGAAATAAGACTGCTCACCGTACTAATCCTCACTTCCTCTATTAAAAACGAGAATCGTAAAATTATGAATAGTATAATAATAGTGCTCTTCACTCATAGAAGACATTTCCTTTTTTTTAAAGTGAATTTCCAGATCACTGACCTCAGCAAAGACGGCCTACCACGGGTAAAAGTGTTTATACCCGATAGTATGCCTCAAGCCACAGTCCAATATGATGAGGAGGCTATGGTTGTCCATGTGAAGGATCCCTCGCTTGGTTGGGCGGCCCGTATTGAGGTCGTTCGTGATACCCCCTATGCACCCCAAGCTATTCAGGTCAAAAACAATAGAGAAACTCGTCTTGGCCACACGGAACTGGAATAGCCATACGGAACTGGAATAGTATCAGAGCATTTGGAACACGAATGTCTGGTGCGAAATGTGACACCACATCTGACTATTTACACCTTCAGGTGTCACAAATAGAATGACTGATAAAATCGGTCCTTAGCTTAATCTTGGCCTTAATAGCTTTTGAACGTATTAAAAAATGTTTAATGTCACTTTGCTGTGATGATATGCTTTTCTTTATCGTATCAAGACATTATCTTTCGCCTAGCACAATGTAATTGATGTCGAGGGAAAACGTGGGAAACTTTTTAATCTGTTTTGGACGGTGCTTCTTGTGTAAAGTAAGGAGTTCTTTGAACTTTCTAGTTTCAATAAGACAAGAGAAGGCTAGTGGCTAATCTAATTCGCATCTTTATTAATACCAAACTGTGATACTATAGTTGATTACGTTTAAATTAATAATAATAATAATAATAATAATAATAATAATAATAATAATAATAATAATAATAATAATAATAATAATAATAATATAGATTTAGCCAGGGCTGAAAGCGAAGCTCTGGTTAATAATACTTGTAAACAAAAACAAATTAAATCGTGTAATGCTAAACGGGGAGGGCAATGAAAATGGCATCAAGATGAATAGATCTAATTAGCAAAAAAACAAATTGCACGTGCAGCACACTTTTTTTTCTAATTAGCAAAAAAAAAAAATTTGCACGTGTAGCACGCTTTTTGTCTTTCGTTGCCGTTGTTTTGCATAACTACGACGCTGTTTTGTAGGACTAAAACGTCAAACTTCCTAGTTAAGCATTATTTTTATGGAGGAATTGTTGTATGCATGTGCTTACCCAATATTTTGTCTCCTGTGTTCATGTTCGCTTTCATTTTCACTGCCGCTCATTTTCACTTTGCTGGCCGCTAGCATTTCTCATTAGAGAGTTTTAGATCCGAGTTTACCGCGAACGTCTAACCGCTGGAGGTCACGTGACAAGTCTTTCGCGTCAGGTTTGAGGTTTACGACGTGCGTTTTCAACGTGGGGAGGTAGGTTTTCACGTATGTCATTTACCTGAAATCTTTTAGCGTGTAATTCTTGTTTTATCCCACGTAATGATACAAAAATCTTGTGGAGCAAGGCTTCATCCATTAACAGAGGCACAAATTCGGGCGAAATGGCTAAATTTGATAAATCTTATTGGATCTTGAAAACAAGTGCCATTCATGGCTGCTGATTCAAAATGGCGGCCGTAAATTTGCAAGAAGAACTAATGTAAGAATTTACAGCTCTTTGCTGCTAGATAACCCAATGTTACCGTAAATTTATTTTATTTTCACTGATTGATATTTCTTCTATTTCTAAATGGAAAAATGAACCTAGAATGGCTTCGTTAATCCATCTCCAATCTAAATCGAATAATGTTTGAACGTCGAACCGCAAACGGGTAACCGCAAACCGCGGTTAGAGGTTTACGGTAAACTCGGATCTAAAACTCTCTATTGTCTCACAGCCGCTTTGAATTTTCATGTTTTTCTTCCTACAAAATTCGTCTCTTTTGTTTTCAATCACTCGCTCGGCTCTTTCTCCGTTATCCACGTGAGTGTAAACATCAAAAATCACGTCGGAAAAGACACGACTGTTTTTTCTTTCTAAAAGTCCGGGCGGCCATGCGATTTCTTTCCGTTGCATTTGGGTTGCCATACATCTTGATTGAATTATTTTACATTGGTATGCCTGTGGTGCGGACGGATGGTCGGGCGGTCGGTGTACGTTCACGCGATTACCAAATTTTCTCGGATGGGTAGTTTACCACATTTTTTTACCCATGGTGCTCCGCTGCGCGGGCTTCGCGCGCGAGAGCTCCGCTAATAATAATAATAATAATAATAATAATAATAATAATAATTATCATAGTAATAATAATAATAATAATAATAACAATAATAATAATAATAATGTTTAATGATAATGACGATGATGATGATGACGATATTTTGAAAAGTAAGTAAATGAACCTTAGGCCACCATCTTGAAACAAGTGAACCAAAGACCAGTGTGATGACAAGACGACTTTCTACATGAAGAATTTTTCAAGAAAATTTCAAACTTCAATGAATGGTTTCCGAAGTTTTTGCCAATAAACAAAAGCTGGAGTTCCGTGTAAATCCATGTGATTTTAATTACTTTTTTTTTCTTAACTTATACGCTGCAACGCGTTATCTTTTCTCACATAAAATGAATTTTCCATGAGTGGAATAAAGTAATTGCAGGGGCGTATCCAAAAAATTCAGAAAGAGCGGCCCGGAAGACTTTTCTGCAACATAAATCCACTCATAAAGTGTAAGATGATTTCCCGCTATAATTGTTATTATGTGACGCCATTGTTATTTTTATGTAAGGGAAAGTTAATTTATTGGGTGCTACACGTAACTGAAATAAAACTGCTCACCGTACTAATCCTCACTTGTTATGTTGAAAACGAGAATCGTAAAATTATGAATACTATAGTAATAGTGCTCTTCACTCATAGAAGACATTTTTTTTTTTAAGTGAATTTCCAGATCACTGACCTCAGCAAAGACGGCCTACCACGGGTAAAAGTGTTTATACCCGATAGCATGCCTCAAGCCACAGTCCAATATGATGAGGAGGCTATGGTTGTCCATGTGAAGGATCCCTCGCTTGGTTGGGTGGCCCGTATTGAGGTCGTTCGTG